TGTCAACGGCTACTTTATGAATATACAGAGATACAAATTATCTTGTAATGTTAATCAGAGAATCAGTCACTTTCTCACCATGAGTCAAATATTACAATTGAGAAAACATAAATTCACATAATCCAAACAAGTAAACAGATTAAACTTTATCCTCCATTGACGGTCTCGGATACAGCGCATAATTTACACGGAACGTGCGCTACCCTACACATGACAGATAAGAAACATACGCAAATGCGACAATAATGAACTCCGACGTCGCCATAAATCCCTTTCCAAAAGTTTAAACGCGCATTTAATTTATGGTATAAGTCTGATTAGTGCGCAGGTAGACCGAAGGAGCAGGTAGACTCTTTCACGGGAATTTAAAGACCCCGTGAGTTAATAGCGGCCCCGAGCTCTAACAAGGACCTTTTTTTTCGGTGGTCACTTTAAGATACAGTTATGTTCCTGACAAAACATCGATCCTTTTGTTACAAGTGTTAAACATTTTATGACCCCAAAATTTCCACAAGTCTTGCGATAAGAAATTATTTTTGTTTTTGCATCGTATTGTTCGATACAAAAGTTTAAATGACACCTAGTTTACTGAGCGTTAAAATTGTCAGCTCATTCAGTACGAGCGGTCAGCGATCGCACCGATCCTTGAGTTCGGCGCATTCGTTTTGTGTCGCTTCTGGCTCCTTTCATCCGTCTTGTCCGTGTGTGTGCACATTCAGTTATAAATTTCCGCTTACTGTGATAGACGAGCGATAACCCTACGTCCGCAGCCGGTAACAAATGCGCAATAAGTCACTAATAAAATGAATCATACCAACTTCTACAATACTACTCGATGAAACTTCCGAAGTAGGTACGAGACGCGTCCAATTGTTAAGCATTTGTTTGTCCCACTTCACGTGGGGCGCTTTACTAAAGGGCTTCGAATAGTCGGGAGCTCAAAGGACGCCACATCATCGTTAAAAATCGGTTAAACCTGTCTACGCTTATGATGCTCTAGTACGTTGGTTACCGCCCTGATCAGCTTGGCTCATTTATTTTAAACAGCCGGAAAAAACACGCGCAGACAAATAAAACTCATTTCTTGCGAAACTTCAGCAAACCAACGAAACTTTAGTTAGAAACTTCGGTTGACGAAATAAGTAAATTCGCAAGTATTCTAAAATAGACGACTATCCTGAGATCTTTGAAATTATTAAATGATATAGAAATGTAGCGCACTAAACTAACTAAAATTATGAACAAGAAATATTTTTAGTTACTGTATCAATAGTCCTGCTTCACTGATAATGAAATAACTAGTTGCGGTAACTACGAAGTGTCATGCCAACGGTGGCGAGCTACGACCGTTGGGCGCACCGCTCGCGGGTCGCACGCACACCGCACACCGTGTCGAAACGGAAAGCGCAGCTGCCAGTGCCAATGTTTGACAGTTGAAGGCAGAATGGAGCTTTGTCAGTGCCCTTTTAAAAAAACATTAAATTACAATAGCATTAGACGGTTAAGATGGAATACAAAAATAGAAAAATTGTTGTACGACATTAAACAATATGTAAACAGGATTATGAAATAATGTACTGTTTAGTTATTTAATTTGTATAGCGAGTCGTCGACTTCTGAGACTGATATCGGTGTTAATTTAAAACAGATTTCGGAACTGTTAATATTAATAGTAACATGTGTTCTAACGTTCATAAACAAGAGGCGTAACGACTGTCAAATGTTTAAATCGAAAATAACAATCAATGGTGAGTAAGGAGGCGGGATAATTAAGCTGGAACGGTCGAAGCTTAAAGATGTATAATGGCATTAATATTGGTGGCCAGTCCTTATTATAAATAGACGACATTCTGTAAGTCGGGTACATAGGTATTTGCCACAGGCAGCACCTGGCTCAGTTTTTATTTTTGTTTTTTAAAGTGGTCATACAAATGTCACCCATTAAAACGATCGCTGCTGAGTGGAACTGAATAGTTTCGGTGACCAGTAATGGGAATGTCATCCACTATACATTCCATCAAGAATTGATCGAGATGTGTGTAAGTTTGATTCAAAACTTTGCATTGACAGCTGACTACATTTCTATGGTAACAATAATTTATCATTAGTTTTCATTAAATCCAATTTCCTTGTTATCGGTAGATAAGTAGACCATTGTTAGGTTATCTATGGTCATGTGAATGTGAAGACGGTTGGGGCAGGTGGCGCGCGCGTCGGTTGTAAGGCGGTTGGCAGATGGCAACCCCGGCGATAACTTGAAGGCATTTGTAAACTGGTAATTTATTATAATGTCACTAACCGATAATAACACCGGTCGAATTTTCGTGTTTTAGAGGAAAATAGGTGTTTTAATTACTTTTCTATCATTCATGTAAAGTGTAGATTTTATACTCATTTTAATGTTTATTCTTTATAACTCATGTCTGAAGTATGCCATGTTCGCGTCCTCGGGCGAAGTCCTTGGTACCCTGTTACAGCCTTTATTTATACCATATTAGTTTGAGATTTTGCCAAAAACAATAACTTTCTTTGATGGTTCTTCTGTTAGCAAATCCTATGCAGATTTATTTGGAATCAACTTGCCAATTTGCCTTCAACTCAGATGAAATTTAATTGTAGTTTTATCTTTAATGACAATAAATAATTTATGTGTAAGTATGCCTCTTGGTATGTTAAACCTTACATTAATCAACCAGTATAATGGACTAGTACATGTTCGTAAGAGCACACATGTGGCGTTGCTAGGTAGAACGGAACAATTCTTCATGGCGACAACATTTTGCACATCTGCGTTCTTCGGACTTTGACTCGAAGACATTAACATCATATCCTGTCATTAAACCTTCACGAGAAAAACGTACGCTCCATTTTTTTCCAACAATAATGTAGTCCGCGACAAATAAATTAATCTCGGACAGAAATTGCCATCGCATAGTTCTCTGAGAAAATAACAGAGGCCGTGTAAGGCGGAATAATGAAAGTCGCCTGCGGGATGGCCGCTTATTACTAGCCCTGGATAAAGAGTAAATCGAAATGGGAGTGAGTCTAATTCGCGGCGCCGGCTGACAGCCCGAGATGGATTGTTGTCAACATTAGTGCGGGAGCATATCGACTTGTCGCTCTATAACATTGCCCCCGCCGACCACTAACCCGTGATGACATAATTTACGGCTCGATCAATCTAAATTAGATCCAATAGCACATAAAATAAGAGTCCATTTCACTCTGCCACGTCACGTCATTGCGACTTTACGATCCGATCACAGCCACTCTCGTCCAGGAGTACATGTCGCGAGACGTCTGACATTCGATTTCAAGCTCAGAAACAAAACAGCTCAAGGTCTACAATTAAACGCAGTAGCGGTTTTCGCGCCGGATTACGGGCTTATTCGTGCTGCCGCGGCAATTAGGAAGTCATTCATTAGGGTCCCTAAGTTTCGCAGACGTGGGGGTGCCGTCGCACCGTGACGTCACGCTGTTCTTTCGCAACGCGCTATGATTCCAAATGATTTCTAGTTCGTTGCGCCTCGCCGCTAGTTAGTGCCCCGCTTCGAAAACAAAAAGTAACCATGTTTAAGAATGCTGTTGGTGCGACGTGCGCAATACAAACAGGAGCGAGTTAGTTCGGGCTCGGCCGTTTCTTCCCGCGGCCATGGCGCCACTCTGAGCAACAAGGACGGAGAAATGCACCTTAAAATAACCCTCAAATTCGACGTAGTTGATACAAAACGCATACAGCCGTAGATTTCATTTCCGAATGCACGATAAGGATGCAAGATGCGGTTACCGGCGGCCCAGAATGCATCTGTCAAGTCGCACAAAAAATGGGGCCCTGGAATTTTGGGACGTCTTGGCAACGACGACGGGACACATGCTTGTTTATTTTTTTATCGCCGGAGTAGTTTCATTCAAAAATTGTCAGCGACTAGAGAGAGGATTTGTGTAATCTTGTTAAAGTAGTATCAGTCTGCCCGTTAACAAACCAATTTAGCTATCGGTCAGAAAATTTATGAATGTTAACATTCATTACTTCCAAATATAGATTTAATTATATGGAGTTATTTTCAAAGACGTCGGTTGTTGGAAAGGATGACATAATTTGTAACGTTTATGGTAATGCTAATATTCATTACAAGAATCGTGGGAATCGCATTTTCAATACGTGTACTATCAGTTTCGCTTTTACCAACCCATTTCCGCTTGGTAAAGCGAATAGTACAAGACAGCGGCGCAGTTCGCGTCCACCAGGCTGGCAGCAGTGTGCAGGAGCCGAAGCCTTGACCCTGACTGCGGTGGCGTCGACCGGAACGCACGCCGAGCCACATTGCGAATCTTGCCGATTGGCGTTCACTGCCTAGCGAGTGTTGCGATCTTAGTACATTCCGTTCGCACGTGTGCTTTACGAGATTATTTTCTCTTTCATTTATGTACGAAAATTACATCAATTAAGTAAATTACAATTTGCGTCTATTTTCAATAGTGTTCTTATTTTGCATACTGATTGTCCGACAAAGTGAAACAAAGTTACGAGATCCGAGTTTGATTTGTAGTTAGGGTTCTGTTCCCGTCCATAATGAGATCCACATTTATAACATGAATCTTTTTTATTGTTGATGTTATTAAATTCGGTTAGTAAGTTAGACGCAACGGCCTAGTAACGACAAAATCGAGAGTTATTGTGAAGAAAAAAGTCATCAAGTATCTTGTGGAGTAAACAGACAGAGAGAGAAAGAGGAGGGGTAAGCAGTCATTGATGTAGAACCGGTTGTAGCGACTCGTCATCCAGAACCGGCTTGTGACGGACAGGGATGAATTACTCACCGAAACATCGTGGTTTGGGAACATTGGAACTAAGCGTTACGGGCATAGCTCGCATGCCAAGCCCGTGATCAATGATTACCACGAGCTTGAACATTTATTTAGATCACAATAAAAAGATAAAAATCTTGTAAAAACTATTATCGACTTGTGATAAATATAACATGTATAGATTCTTATAAATGCCACCACGACGGTCTGACAGTTCACCTTACATCGGATTCACAGATGCAAAAACATTGTTCGGCGCGCCACTACAAATCAAAACAACAAACGCGCCGACAGGAGGTCCGATCGACATCGACATCGAGACAATCATCGACAATCGTATCGATAGTCAACGCGGGTCCGACACGAGTCGACAACCGGACGTGACGTCACGCCGTCCGTGCGTAAACGCGAGAATTTTAAACAACCTTTTGGTATATTGCGTTGTCTCTCCGAACAGATGTCATTGGTACAAACAAAGATGTCTCATGCTTTGACATTTTATTACCATATGTGTAAGGTTCAAAATCCTGTAAAAAATCCGATCAAAGGATTGCTTATTTTAATATTCACACCGTATGAAAAGTGCGTTGTTAAAAGGTCGTATTAGGTTTTGACACGAATTTACAATAGACAATAATGTATAGCCAGGGATACATGGAATTCTATTTTTATTACCATCTTTTGTTCTTGTACCTCCTACATTAATATTTGCCCAGCGATGCCTCATGCGAAGGCTAAATGTGAATTAATATTGTGATATGTTGGTCAAAGTCCGAATCTTGGTATCAGAGGATTTATAGTGATTTTAATATTTTAATTTTTTTTAGAAGGACCTACCACGAATCTGCGAAAAAGGAATAGTACACAGTACAGGTAAGACTTAAATGTGCCATATCGAAGGACCTCTTCATAAAAGTCTTCGAGGCGGAATGATTTTGTGCGGAATGCGTCAGTATTGAGTTACTGACTATTGTGCCAGGGGGTTTAAAAAAATTTAGGAGTTCCTTAGAAATATTTGTGTAAGCAATTCAATGTTCAGTTCGCATGTTTTCCATAAGTTTATTTACGTTCAAATGAATTCATGGTAAAGAGATTTATTTTGAAGCACGGCTTGCTTTAACGTTATAGAAAAATGGGTATAGGTAACAGGACGAAAATAAACTAGTAATAATAGACGGATAAAGATAATGATTAGCTACCAGATTATATTTGAGTAGGTACAGTTGAAGAAAACCTTATTTAAAAAAAATATTTAACAAAGCGAAGACAAAGACACACTTATTAAGTTTTTATCGAATGTGTTTCGGTTACGATCAGCCTTTAACTGAAGGAAACAGAACGTAACGCCCTAAATATAACAACTGTCGAAACCCGCGGCCCATCTTATCGCGTTTAAGTTTATGCACTTCCTAATCATCTTTCGACTACAAACTACAATTATTGCATCCTGTAGTATTTTACTACTCTTAAGAATGCAGATAAACATTTGTTTCCATTCCCGAATGTTCTTAAAAAGCCCTACTAGTGTTTAAATTCTAAAACTACTTAGACTATTCATCACAAAGTTGTCAAAACCCAGGTTTATCACCTAATAATGTCAACCTAAATCATAAATCTACAACAGAATGGATGTATTCTGCAAGGTGAATATGTTTCGTGCGAAATTCTTCAACTCGTACTATAGGACGCGCGTAGTTAGACAGAGTTGTAAGTGAGCAGCTGCCTTTTTTGCTCTCGTTTTACAAGTTCCTTAGTCTGGAAATGCAAGGGACCTCTATATACCCTACCTATCTATAGTACGAGTATTATTGTTTCGTTCTACAGCTATGGGAAAGGTTTCCGAGCGAAACGGCCACTATTAAACGGGTCGGATCGAAATAGGTACCAGTTTTTGTATAATGCGATATTATTATTGTTTAGTTTTCTTTTTTAATATTTCGTGTTTATCTTTTGATGTATTCTTTGGCTGCAGGGCATAATCAGGGTCCGTTTTTGGAGCAGATTTTAGTTTATATTAAAACGGTATTGGATTAATATTAATATCATAATTAGGTACCTACTTAAATGTTATTCCCTGACTGAGTATTTGGTTTTTACCTGGACCAAAATTATATTTTCTATGTTGTATGTTATTGTTTGTAATGACGAAAAATTAATTAGTTGATATACCTAATAATGATTTGTTTATCGTAGTTTTTTTGTTGTACCTACCTGTTATTGAAAATTTATCTAACCTATTACTTTACCTAGATTTACATATTTTTAAACGCGGGAAATGTGACCCTTATCTCATTAAAACTGATTTCGACCAAGTTCAATGCGAAATAGTGTCTGCATGGTAACCTGTCATCTCAGCGTGATAATAAATAACAATTAAGAGCTCAGAGATACCAGGACCACATAATTGTGAAGAGAATCATGTTTGTCTTAAAAGAGCAAGTACATACATAACTATAATAACATACCTATAATAATTAAGTTCATCAATCGAACGACAATTAGCGACCTGCCCATGTCCAATGCAAAAGGTGAATTCGTATAATAACATGTTAATGTGTTTCAAAGTTAATGTTTATATCTGTGTACATTTATGACAATAAATTTCTCAGTATGTACATTTTAATTAGGTACATTATTAAGTTTTGTCGTTCAATTAAGTCGTTTGTTGTGCATGTGACATTCCGTACCGACGACTTTTGGTTTTGTTTCTTGCATTTTATAAGCTTAACATTATCAACATTTTCGCGTAGGTAGTAGTAGGTATAATCTATTTAAACACTAATGATTTGTTGCTATACGTTAGAAGTTTCTAGACTAAGCGAATGACGTGACTTTTATCATTCGTGATCCTAGGTTGTCGTAGGTTATGTACCCCACCTACGTGATTAACGGGGAATCTCATTTCGTCATAAATATTAATTAATGTGCTTCCGATAGTTACTGATAAATTCTTGTTAAGTGTGGGAATTATCGTGTTAACTTATTTATTATATTATGTGCCTATATGAGGTAAAAACGAGTTATGTATTTCAGTAAATATCGGAGGGGAAAACCCAACGAAGTCTAAGTACAAAATAGAAATAAATGATAAAATAGCATTTAGTAATTACGAACGGTAAGATAGTGCAGTTTAAAAATAAAAAGTTATGTGATTAAAGTGAAATAAAGTCGTGCTTATAATGGATGACACAAATGCAATAGGTAGTTATTAGCCATTGAACTAACTACGAACTACGATATCTACCTACTTTTGACCTATCCCACGGAATGATCCAAACTATAAAGCAAACAACAACAAAAAATGTTTCCAAGGGTGAAGCGAATTCCAGCCGTAGTGTAACATTCTCCCAGTAACCTACCTACCTGTATAGTAACTCCGTGCTCTGCTAACTCAACGAATAGATAATTGATTTCTTACGCAGATACCGCATACATTTGAAAAATTAGTGCCAGATACAGAACTTCGGACCTCTTTGTCGGTAACTTTTTGCTCATCCCTTACAAAAAAGAAAACCAACCCTTGGGTAACATTTTTTGCCGAATTGTACCTTTTAATTAGAACCAACCGATAGTTTTTTCGACTTCGAAACCCAATTTGGAAGGACTGATACCGAGAAATTAGATCGACTTTAGATGATGCAAGATAATGACAATTTGTGGGATTGTGACTAACCTCCTAATATTTTATTATTGATGCATTTTAAGGACTAATGGAAATGTTCAAGTTAAATAATGGACACGAACTATCGCCAAGTAAAATACCTACCTACGACGGACATAGAAAGTTTTAGTAACATTAACTTTGACCTACACTTTGATCAATTTCACCGATAAATACATACCTACGTAATGAATTTCAAAACAAATTTCACTAACTATAATACCGTCTGCTTCAGTTTACGCAAAAGATGTAGGTATAATCTACATTATGAAACAGTAGTCGCGGGCTCTAAACTTACTGAAGGAGCTTTCAGTGTCTCGTGGACGAGGAGTACGTAGGTACTACGGTGGAGTACAACTACGGAGCGAGGAATGTACAACATATATTTACGTAGCTAGCTACACAACACTACGGCACGGTGCTGACAGTGCGGCCATCGGATAAAGCGCATCAACAAATGCTATGAGGGTAAACAAAACAAAAACATTGCGAATTTTTCGCCGGTCGTCGAGTATTCGCACGAGATCCTGTCACTGGGTGTTGGTTGTGATCGAACATAACCTCAAAGCGGCCGGTGGCACGTGCGCCCTTACATAAGGGTGGCGCGGTCCAACCCCGACGTCTGCCGTGACACCGAATAACCTCTACAGCTGTTCGGCGTGGCCGCGCCGGCTGCGGCGGCGACCGGCGGCGTGATAACAAGCAGCGGCGTATGTGAACGTGCAGCAGTACCTTGGCGGCCGACGATCTCGGCGACGTGCTCGGAGGAAGGCACCGGCACACACTCCGTCATGTTCTGCGATTTCTTGGCGCGGTCCTCAGGTGGCGGTGCGAACCCGAGCGGGCTGGCCAGCGAGGTGGTCGCAGGCAGCGTCTCTCCCAGGCTCAGCATGCTCAGCTCGAGCGCCAGTTGGAACGCGCGCTGGTCTTCCACCAATCCTCCGCCACCTCCCAAGTCCGAGAACAAGCTTGAAGGCATTTCCACTTGAGAAGCCATTTTTACGATTTATTGAGAGGTTGCCCTCTCTGTCACTGGTTAGATAAAAATTGGGGTGCGTTCGATCGTTTCAAACGCCGCGTTTTGTCATGAGAGACGCACGTGTATCTGTCGCGCGGCGCGGTCCCGAACTGAGTTGCCGGCCGGCGAGCGCACGCGCCCAGCGCGCCGGCGCGGGGTGGCGGGTGGTGGGAGCGGGTGCGCGCGGGGTGGGGTGGCCGCCGGCGGGCGGGGGAGGGGTGATGCAGCCAGGGCGGGATGCGTCGCAGCTTCCGCCCGCCCTGGGTACCTCCACCGGCACCGCTACACCGCTACACGCCGCGCCGCGCCCGCTGTCCGTGCTTTCACACCTTGCCGCGCCGCGCGCTGCTAATTATTTCGAGATCACGTTTTATGTTGTAGGTGGACGCGTTCCGCGGCCGATAACGTCCATAAAAATTACTCTGATTTACAGGGAAGTTAACTTTCAGAAAAGTTGACTAGGCTACATTCAAGAACAAAATAACATAACATTTTTTAACTAGAATAATAACTCTCATGAACAAAGAAAAATAATTCCGTACCCACATAACTTTCCTATTACTACAGTAGCCAACCAAAGTTTTCAGCTAACAAATAAAGGTACGGCTACTGATGGCTATCGCGAGCGGGAATCAGTAGTCACTTAGAATTCAGTGTCACCACGGTCTTCAATGGGCGATAATGTCGGCAGCTTGTTTGGCAGGCGACGCTGATTGGCTATTGTTTTATCTCCATTCTCCACGAGCCAATAAATAAATTAAATATACGAATCAAAGTAAATGGATAGTTATAAGTAAATGGTTAGTTTAATATTT